AATACCAGTTGAAATAGCGCAGTGCTGAATAGCAAAAAAATGGCCTGGTCATTGAGGGGGGTAAATCTTCCAGAGGGCAAGTGGTTAATCATAGCTAACTTGTGTTTTTCTATTCCCCACAAATGCTGTTCAGTCCAACAGGAAATGGAAGTCAGCAGAAAAATCACTCCGCAGCTGTGACTCATTGAAATATGTCAACTCTATGACTCAACAGCATAGCCAGATCTAGGGGGGTGTTGGGGTGGGCTGTGCCCCCCCAGATTTCAGTTGTGCCACCCCCAAGCTGGGTGCCCCCTATGTACATTATGCCCATGACCTCTGAGCTTCACCCCCCATCCCTGCACTCAGAGCCGGCCGCAGTGAACTACAGGAAACAGTCCAGACAGGAGAAGTGACTCTGGCAGAGAGGAGAAAGCAGGGAGGAGGTTCGGGCTTCTCTGTGATCTCCCTCCTCCTGTCATAACAGCGATCCTCCATACAGCAGGTTACACAGGATCGCACTTAGATACGATGGTACATGACTTTATTACCACCCCCCCGGGGGCGGACTGACCATTTGGAAACTCGGGCACTGCCCGAGGGCCCGGGGTCAGTAGGGGGCCCCATGAGATGCCCCTGGTACCTTTTTCATAGGCTTTTTTGAGCTTGGGCAAGGACACAGGGGCCCCATTATCCCCTATTGCCCAGGGGCCCCATGAGTTGTCAGTCCGCGCTTGACCCCCCCCATCTCCTCCAAAGACTGCTCAACTCCTGGAAATGTGGGTAAGGGCGGGTAATCAAGTCATGTACCGTCAGATCTAAGAGGGATCCTGTGTAACCTGTATGGAGGATTGCTGTTATGACAGGAGGAGGGAGATCAGAGAACCTGCCTTTCTTCACTACTCCTGTAGTTCCCACATGTAAGATTGGGGAAGGGGGAGCTTGGGAAGAAGTTGTGGTAGGGGGGCCTGTTTGTGCTGTAAGGTAATTGGGGGGGAATGTGTTAGTAGGCTAGTAGGCAGGATTGGGAAGGATTTGTGTTAGGAAGGGGGGATTGGGGGGGGGTTAGTGCTAGGAGGGGGGGAAATTGGGAGGATTTGTGCTAAGAGAGGGGAATTGGGGGGACTTGTGCTAGGATGGAGATTTGGGTGGGAGTGGGGATTTGTGCCTGGAAGGATAATATGCAGGTGGTTGTGCTAGGAGTGGGGATTTGGGGGGGAATTTGTACTGGTAGGGGGGAATAAGGGGGGATTTATACAAAGAGGAGGAATTAAGGGGGAGGATTTGTACTAAGAGGTGGGATTTGGGGGAGGATTTGTGCTAAGAGGTGGGATTTGGGGGGAGGATTTGTACTATGAGGGGAGATTTGGGGAGAGGATTTACATTAGAAGTGGGGATTTGGGGGGATATGTATTGGAGGGATTGGGGAGTGAATTTTTACTAGGAGGGGTAATTAAGTGGTAGTGAATTTGTACTAGGAGGGGTAATTAAGGGGGAGGATTTGTACTAAGAGATAGGATTTGGGGGGAGGATTTGTGCTAGGAGCGAGGTTTAGGGGGAAGATTTGTGCTAGGAGGGGAGATTTGGGGAGAGGATTTACACTAAGAGTGGGGATTTGTACTGGGGGGATTGGGGACAGAGTTTGTACTAGGAGGGGGAATTTGGGGGGAGAGTTAGATTTTTTGGCCATGGAAGATTTGTGGGAAATTTGGAAGGATTTGAGCTGGAAGGTGGGATTGAGGGGCAAATATTTTTGCTGTGAGGAGGACTTGGACTGTAAGGATGGGGAATTTTTGCTTGGGTAGAATTTGAGCTTGCTTAGGGGGTGAACGTGTTGCTTAGTGCTATTTTTTGGATGGAGGGGTGGAAGGTGGGGGCACAGTTTGCTAGATGATGTTGTCCCGGCACTGCCCACACTGCACACAAGGCACTCAACAGATCTTTTCCTCCCCACATAACATAGCTGAGATCCCATTCCCCAGCACAATGTGTAGCCGGCTGAAGCTGCAGTTCTGATCTGTGAAATTCCCTGACTGGATTGACAGCTGCAGTAGCCAGCTACACACTGTGTGGAGGGATACCGATCTCAGCTATGTGCTGTGTGGGGAGGAGAAGATCCCTTAAGTGCCCTGTCCTCAACTCTGCTTACCACTGTTTTCTGCCATGCCAACTTCTGTTCTTTGTCCTGTTGACCCCTGTCCTCTGCCATGCTAACCACTGCACACTGACTAGATAACCCACTGTATACTGCCCAAAAAACTAATGGCCTCTGTACATTGCTCTACAAACTGCTGACCCTAGCCTTTGCCCTGCTGACCTCTTATACACTGCCCTGTCAACCTCGCATCCTCTGCCCCCCTGACATTTTTTACTGCACCCCCAAATTAGACAGTCTAGATCCAGCCCTGCTCAACAGCATCTCTAACATATCAAAGACAAGACCATAACAGTTCACTTTTTAGAATCTGGACTAAATATATATCTTGTACTGGTCACATTGTATAATATCTCTCTCTCTCTCTCTCTCTCTCTCTCTCTCTCGTCAGCCACCAATTGTGCAAGTTCTCCCACTTAAAAAGATGAGAGAGGCCTGTAATTGGCATCATAGGTAGACCTCAACTATGAGAGACAAAATGACAAAAACAAATCCAGACAGACAATCACATTGGCTGATCTGGAAAGAATTTATTTGCAAATTATGGAGGAAAATAAGTATTTGGTGAATATCAAAAGTTCATCTCAATACTTTGTTATATATCCTTTGTTGGCAATGACAGAGGTCAGACGTTTCCTGTAAGTCTTCACAAGGTTGGCACACACTGTTGCTGGTATGTTGGCCCATCCTCCATGCAGATCTCCTCTAGAGCAGTGATGTTTTGGGGCTGTGGCTGGGCAACTCCCTCCAAAGGTTTTCTATGGGGTTGAGATCTGGAGACTGGCTAGGCCACTCCAGGACCTTGAAATGCTTCTTACCAAGTCACTCCTTCGTTATGATGGTATGTTCGCTTCTCGGCCTTTTGGCTAAGATCAAGTGTAGTATCTGTTCTTATCAGTGTCCAGTGGGGGTGCTCCCGGCCATTCTAGCTTTGCGGGGATGGCTGTTGTATAGTACCCTCACTGGTATGATGGGGGTCCGGAAGGCTAGTACCGGAGGGACAGAAACCAGGGAGCGCCATGATTCGTTCTGGGGCCTTGGGAGTAATTCCTCTGGGAAGACTGGAAAGACCCAGTACCTCCTGATTTGGACGGATCTACCTTGGTCTGGCCAGGGGCTGGGGACGCAAAAAGTCCGCAAACTCAGTGCCCCCTGGGGAAGACGCTCTCAGGGGTGTCACTAGTAACACTTGGGTGTGGGACCCCACGGTGTGAAGATGACACATGGCCACTGTTTTTCACCTCTTTTTGCACAGCGCCCTAAGGACCAGGTCTTTTGGCTAAGTCCAGGGCAATTTTTGCTACGGGCCTCAGGGCCTGGTCTGTGCACAATTTGGCACGGTACCACTTTTTTATTTTTCTATTTACTTAATTTATTATGCACTCCCACGTTTGTCACTTTTTGCTTTACTTATGTGTGTGTTTTTCCACGGATGGAGGGTGTGGGTCCTCGGGCCTACTCTGAAGTCTAGGGGGAGGATGTGCGGCCTTTTGGTTCCTTCCTCCCCTGATCCCTAGGGGGCTTTCTCTTCGGGAGAGCCCCCTGGCCTAGTACTGGATGTCCGGCTTCGGCTGGACATAAGGAACGGTGGTCCACCAGGCCTTTTGGCCAGGAGGACCAAATGGGAACCTTGTCCCTGTCAGGAGCTTCGTGCCCCGGGGGATCAGGGTAACGGTTCAACCCCTTCGGGGGTAGGACAAGCACACCCCTAAGTGCACTTTTTCGTGTGGTGTTCGCACTTGCACTTTTTTTGTGATCACTTACGGGTTTTTCGTTGTAGTTTGCACGTTTGCGGACTTAAATAAAAAAAAAAAAAAAAATAGTGGAGTTTGGAGTGTGACTGTTTGAGGTTGTGGACAGGTGTCTTTTATACTGATAACAAGTTCAAACAGGTGCCATTGATACAGGTAATGAGTGCAGGACAGAGGGGCCTCTTAAAGAAGAAGGTACAGGTCTGTGAGAGCCAGAAATCTTGTTTGTAGGTGACCAAATACTTATTTTCCACCATAATTTGCAAATAAATTCTTTCCAAATCAGCCAATGTGATTGTCTGGATTTTTTTTTTCTCATTTTGTCTCTCATAGTTGAGGTCTACCTATGATGCCAATTACAGGCCTCTCTCATCTTTGTAAGTGGGAGAACTTGCACAATTGGTGGCTGACTAAATACTTTTTTGCCCCACTGTATCCACCGAATCTGGGACGTATCTCATTACTTATGCTAATGTATTTCATTTATAATTCTATGCATTTAATGTAAGATCAGAACAATTTCCTCTTTTTGTTGTTCTAGGTGTACTTTGTTCCCGGAGAAGGGTGTTGTCCTTACTGCAGCAGAAGGTGGGACTTGGAGTTTCTTCCTTATCTACAAAAATGTGAAGTGTAAACATGATGTAACCTTTACCCTACCTTCTACATCACAGTCTGATCCCTGGGCTCTGCACAGTATGGGGCTCCATGCATTGGATCCCAGAAGGAATATAGTGTGAAGCTTATATGATCCCATGTGTAGGGAATCATGGATCTTAAAAAACAAAAACAATCCCCTCCGGGTGATCTATGCACATTGCAGAGATTTTACCAAACCTTGTTGCAGATTCTTACCTGTGTCTGCTCTGAAGAGAAAGCAGTTTGCTTTGCCATGTCCTTTGGACACAGATTCTGAATTTGAGGGGCTGGTTCATTATGATCACCTGGGTCGCTCATTCACTCACTGTTCAGGGGGACCTAAAAAGCATATATAGAAATGGTATTTCTACCAGTTCTACATATGATAGCTTCCCACTGTCACTGGTTTCTAAGGAAGCCAAGCACTAGCGGCCTTCCTAGGGTTCACTGACACCATGGGGAATCCCCTCCCCTTTTAAGCAAAGGTAGGATAGCTGCAGGGCTGGATCTAGCCTGTCTGATGTGGGGGTGCAATAAAAAAATATCAGGGGGGCAGAGGATGGGAGGTCAGCAGGGCAGAGGACAGGGGTTACTGCTGGCAAGGCAGAGGACAGGGGTCAGGCAGGGCAGAGGACAGGGGTCACAGCTGGCTGGGCAGAGAACAGGGGTCGCTGCTGGCAGGGCAGAGGACAGGGGTCGCTGCTGGCAGGGCAGAGGACAGGGGTCGCTGCTGGCAGGGCAGAGGACAGGGGTCGCTGCTGGCAGGGCAGAGGACAGGGGTCGCTGCTGGCAGGGCAGAGGACAGGGGTCGCTGCTGGCAAGGCAGAGGACAGGGGTCGCTGCTGGCAGGGCAGAGGAGAGGGGTCGCTGCTGGCAAGGCAGAGGACAGGGGTCGCTGCTGGCAAGGCAGAGGACAGGGGTCGCTGCTGGCAAGGCAGAGGACAGGGGTCGCTGCTGGCAAGGCAGAGGACAGGGGTCGCTGCTGGCAGAGCAGAGGACAGGGGTCGCCGTTGGCAAGGCAGAGGACAGGGGTCACCGCTGGCAGGGCAGAGGACAGGGGTCACTTTGACAAGGCAGAGAACAGGGGTCACCGTTGGCAGAGCAGAGGACAGGGGTCACCGCTGGCAGGGCAGAGGACAGGGGTCACCGCTGACAAGGCAGAGGACAGGGGTCACTTTGGCAAGGCAGAGGACAGGGGTCAGGCAGGGCAGAGGACAGGGGTCAGGCAGGGCAGAGGACAGGGGTCACTGCTGGCTGGGCAGAGGACAGGGGTTACTGCTGCCTGGCAAGGGAACAGGGGTCGCTGCTGGCAAGGCAGAGGACAGGGGTCACTGCTGGCTGGGCAGAGGACAGGGAACACTGCTGGCTGGGCAGAGGACAGGGGTCAGGCTGGGCAGAGGACAGGGGTCAGGCTGGGCAGAGGTCAGGCTGGGCAGAGCAGAGGACAGGTGTCGCTGCTGGCAGGGCACAGGAGAGAGGTCGCTGCTGGCAGGGCAGAGGACAGGGGTCGCTGCTGGCAGGGCAGAGGACAGGGGTCAGGCAGGGCAGAGGACAGGGGTCGCTGCTGGCAGGGCAGAGGACAGGGGTCAGGCAGGGCAGAGGACAGGGGTCACTGCTGGCAGGACAGAGGAAAGGAGCAGAGCTCCCCTTGCCCATACAATGCATAACTGAAATCAGTATAGTGTCAGTCAAGGACAGTATAGTGTCAGACTAGGGCAGTAAAGTACCAGATTAGTGGCAGGTTAGGGATGGCTTTGGGGGGCAGAGGGGCACTATTAAAATCTGGGGGGGGCATAGCTCATCCCAGCACCTCCCTAGATCTGGCCATGGCTAGCAGTGACATCACTGCCCAAATATGATGATATTTGATCAATGGTGTCACCGCTATCCCCGGCACGGGTATCAAACTGGCGGCCCTCCAGCTGTTGCCTAACTACAAGTCCCATGAGGCATTGCAAGATTGACAGTTACAAGTATGACTTCCAAAGGCAGAGACGTGATGGGACTTGTAGTTTTGCAACAGCTGGAGGGCAGCCAGTTTGACACCCCAGCGCGGCCTACCCCTTCTCTGATATACCTGATGACAGCTCGATTTGTTGTGTCCACCAGGTCTTTTTTTCATATTTTCGAACAAAGTACTTGTCAAATGTTTGGGTGTTGCAATTTCTAGGTTACAACTTTGGGCTTTTTGTGAATGAATAGGGGGTTCATTTACTCCCTACTCATTTACATGGGGGGGGCAGTATCTGGGGGCCATCTCATTATTAAAGGGGACTTCCAGATTCTAATAAGCCCCCCACCCCAGGACAATGTCCACCCCCCCCATGCTATTTTTGTATTTTTGACACCCCTTGCCTACTAGCCCAGAAAACAGGCATTTTAACTAGACAGATGCGGGTTTCATTGATTTTAATGGGGTTCAGGTCCAGCACTTCTTTAGAGTTCACTGAGCCCCTGCCGAGCCAAACACAGGGCATGAACAGGGCAGTTCAGCTCATAACTAGTTCTGAAGAGAGAAGCTGCAGGGTCTGCATCTTTTTTAGAAGTATTTAACCTTGGAGAGTGTCTTACCAAAACTGAAGTTCCTATTGACGGCCAGTTCACACTATAGAAAAGCAGTCCAGATGCGTTTCTGCATGCGCGTTTTTGACACGTTATGGAGCATTTTTTATGCATTTTTGACACATTCCAGCGCATTTTTAAGCACTCCAGTTAATTTTGCAACACTCTCTTTTTCACTTTAAATAGGGACATGCGCGTTCCAATGCATTTTTGGTGCGTTCCAGTGCATTCCGGTGCATTTTACCGCGTTCCAGTACAGTTCTGTGCAGAAAAATGCAACATGTTCTACTTTTTTTATGCATCCGGAACGCACTGAAACTGCCAGCACTGATGTGAACTATGACATTATTATTATACAGGATTTATATAGCGCCAACAGTTTGCTCAGCGCTTAACAATATAATGGGAGACAGTACAGCAACAATACAGTTCAATGCAAGATGGAAAGGAGGGCCCTGATCCTCAGAGCTTACAATCTAGGAGGGAGGGGCTACAAAAGATAGTAACTGTGGGGGATGACATTGACAACCATATCCCCTATTTTCTGTGTGTTTAAATGCAGAAAAAAAGCAACTGGAACGCATGAACTAGCCCTGAATGGGGTGCCTAAAATCTGAGTGCAGAGTTCTAGGAAAATCAGTGAGCCAATCACAAAAGCAGGAAATAATATTCCTGAGAGTGTTCTGTGCATTAACTGTGTACAGAACAAACAGTCTCCAACCACTGAAGAAGCCTGGTGGAAGGGACGAAACGTGTCAGTTGGGAGCCTCTGGTGACGTCACATTCGGCCGCTGGAACGCACACCGGTGTGCTACTTCCCCTACTTCCCTACTTCCAATCTGGCAATCTTATGATTTTATGCATGGACACATTATTTTTATGAGTGGAATACCTATTGTTTTTCAAATTAAAATAAAGGGAATTTCACTATGTTGGCCCCCTTCTCTCTATTGCACGGTTGTATGAGGAGTATATTACTGTGACTGCTGAGCTGTTATCTGTGGATCGGGAAAAGAACCAGACACCAAGGAGGACTACAAGTCCCAGCTGAACCCCCATATGTCCATGAGCATGATAGACTCTTATATAACATGTGAGTAAGTGGGACCACTGGTGGGGAGCACCAAGAATTCTGCACTTTATTAAGAAGAACGGCACCTTTGCACACTGACAGACTGTTTTATTACCGCAGTAATGTGCACCTGGATTTTATGTTGTGATATTGGAAACATTACATGTTTTTTTTTTTCATGGACGGGGGGCACAGTAAGAACCACTTGCCCTCCAGAGGATTTCACCCCCTTCCTGACCAGGCCATTTTTTGCGAAATGGCGCTGCGTTACTTTAACTGACAATTACGCGGTCGTGCAATGCTGCACCCAAATTAAATGCATGCCCTTTTTTCCGACAAATGGAGCGTTCTTTCGGGGGTATTTGATCGCCTCTGCGGTTTTTTATTTTTTTTCGCTAAAACGAAAAAGTCCAACAATTTTAAAAAAAAAAAACAACAAGATTTTTGGCTTTTTGCTTTAAAAAAAATCTACTAAAAAAATAAAATAAATCAAAATTCTTTATAAAGTTAGGCCAAAATGTATTCTGCTCCATGTCATTGCTAAACAAAAATCCCAATACGTGTAAATTCATTGGTTTATGTGAAGGTTATAGCGTTTACAAATGGCAATATACAGTATATACTGGGGGGGGGGACTGGCTTGGTGTCACTGACATCTCCAGTGACACCAGTACAGTGATCAGTGCTAATAAAAAGCACTGACACTGTACTAATGGCACTGGGCAGGAAGGGGTTAACATTTTTTTTTTTTTTTTTTTGACAAATGGAGCTTTCTTTTCGTGGTATTTGATCACCTTTGCATTTTTTTATTTTCAAAAAAGACTAACAATTTTGGAAAAAAAACAACATTTTTTACTTTTTGCTATAAAACATATCCAGTAAAATAATTGAAAAAAATCAAATTTCGTCATAAATGTAGGCCAAAATGTATTCTGCTCTATATCTATGCTAAACAAAAATCCCAATACGTGTATATTAATTGGTTTATGTGAAAGTTATAGCGTTTACAAATGGTGGTATAGATACTGGAATAAAAAAAATAAAAAAATTATACTAGTAATGGCGGCGATAGCGGGACTGTGATGGGCATTCTGACACTGGGGGGAACTGACTAACTGCCACTGACATCCCAATGACACTATAACATCCCAATAATAAAAAGCACTGACACTGTACTAATGGCACTGGGCAGGAAGGGGTTAACATCTGGGGCGATCAAAGGGTTAACTGCGTGCTGTTTTACTAAGTGTGGCTGTGTGTGTGTTTTACTTGGGAAACATGCTGCTTTGCAGGGGCGGACTGACAACTCATGGGGCCCCCAGGCAATAGGTGATCATGGGGCCCCTGTGTCTTTGCCCAAACTCAAAAAGCCTATGAAAAAAAAAAAGGTACCAGGGGCATCTCATGGGGCCCACTACTGACCCCGGGCCCTCGGGCAGTGCCCGAGTTTCCAAATGGTCAGTCCGCCCCTGCTGCTTTGTATTTCTCTGCCCACCCTTGTCCCGGCCATGCTAGTATACAGGTAGTATGAAGCTAATTTTCCCTAATTCCAGGTAAAATGCAGTATGAAGCTGATCTTACATGATCCCAGAAGGAGGACAGAATGGAGGTGAGCCTATATGATGCCTGGAAGAGTCTAGAAAACCCCCGGAGGGAACAGTATGAAGATAAGCACATTCATTTCCAAGTGCTAATAAATAAAAAAATAAATAAAATGAGCTATGGACATGGAATTGATGTAATGCACATGAAATCAGATATTTTTTTAATGGGATTTATATTTTTTGTGTTATTTTCTATTCGATTATATTATTGTACACAAGTACAGCATGGATTGACAAGAAATAATCACACAGACAACAATATTTCAATGCAGACAATTCTTTGGTGTGACATGTGCCGTGGTTCTGAATGGGATTAACACATATGGAGGACATGTATGCGTGCGCAAATAGTTATGTAACCTGGCCAGCCACCTATAGGGGTTCATTTATTAAAGGCAATTAGGCTGCAAGAGAATTTTCCATGCGAATGTGCAGAAGTTTTACTTTGTAATGAATGCCCAATCACGTGCAAGAAAAATGAACAGCTTCCTGAACGCCCTATAGCAGAAATACTGCTACAGGGCGGCACGGGTGCGCAAAATCACACACACACACACACACATATATACACATACATATATACATACATACACACACAGTATACGTGATTTCACATTTCCAGGTAGGGGGCGCGCGCAAGGCACACGCATACCTACCCTTGACACCATTTATGGCCGCACCTGTCAATCACTGGGTCTAGGCCAGTGATTCCTTGCTGGTACCTGGCGATTGCTGAGCATCTCCAATGCGGAGGTGAACGGTTTGTAAACAAAACAGTTCTCCTCCCCGTCAGCTCATGCACACTGCTTTGGATAGCTCTGCACAGCACAGCCATACAAAGCAGTGTGGTTACAGTGAGGCACACGGACACAGCACTATGTAAAACAGCGCACAAC